ATACCACCGGTTGAGAATCGCTGATCTAGATCATTAAAGAAAAAAGGATAAAAAAACTAGGCATTTCATATCAAATTACAATTCATTAAACTAAACTTGTTTTTAGTTCTTATCGGATGTTTTAGTAACGTTCAATGTATCCCCTTTTGTTGATACAATATACATCTGTGCATTGTCATAAAGAGGATATGCTTCAACAAGCTGACTGATGTTGCAGTGGAATGAAAAAAGTGATGATAACTTCTTTCAGCAAGATGATTGTTTCGCTGCATGACACAAAAATCATTATCTATTTGTGGGAATATTTCAATCCAAATTTGTTATGAAATGTGGATTATGTGAATTGTATATTATAAAATGTTTTATTTGTGACTTGTATGCACAGAACAAAGAAATTTTTAAATATGATTGTGACCATGATTTATAAGCAGCTCATATGATTTTTCTTGCTGTGCTTTAAAATATTAACATGTTCAAATTTAAAATTAACATTTTAAGTAATTATTCAAATATTAATATTTTAAACAATTTTTTTAATTAATATTTTTTTAAATGATATTAAAAGAAATTTCTTTTGAAACTCATAAGAATGCAAATTACTATACATTGTTATATAAAATCGATAAATTGTATCTTTATTTGAACTTCCATTTTGATTATGTAACTTTTTTTTTTCCAAAGAATGTTTTAAAGCATACATGAACTTTTTTAAAGAAAAATATATGTCATCTGGTATGCTTTGCTTCTGAATCTTGAGCAAAGCGCTGTGATTCGAATTCGGGTCTTGAAATGGTTTCTCACTTGTATTTCTGAAATTTCTGAGGGTTCAGTGCAGTAGATAGCATTTTGAAAAGGTGAAATTATTTTTTTATTTTCTTCTTCATCCCCGCTACTTAAATGCGAATCTGGTAAAATGTTTTGAATGAGTTCTTCAATTGTACTCAAGTCTGATGTCATTACATTGGCATCAGCTTACATATTTCTTGATTGTAATGTCTAATCGCAGCAATTTCCAAGCTTCTTCATCCATAATCAGTTTTATAATCATTTTTACTGTCGATGCTTTCACTTAGATTTAAAATTCCCCTTTAATAAAGCAATTAATTGTTCGGGGTTTTTCTTGAGCCGAGGCAAATGAAATCATATTCATAAGCCTGAAAAATATTTTTTTCTTTTTATTGCCTGTAGTTTTGAAAGGTTGTCTGTAGAACATTTTCAAATTCTTAATTATGCCTTGAAGGTTGTACTGCACTAATGCAGTTAGCCTTGAAGAAAAGAACCTTCACATTTTGCAAAAAAATCTGTCGTTTGAGGATTGGTGGTACATTGATCCATAAAAAACAGTTTTGTCTGTTTTCTTAAGCCCCTCCTTTTCTGTAAAAATGTCCCTCCCTTTCTGTAAAATGTAGTCATCCATGCTTTCTTATTTGCATTATGTTCTAATAATGGAGTTTGAACATTTTTGAAGCAACTTTGTTTTGACTTTCCTATAACTTAAAGGAGTCATCTTTTCCATACCATCAGCATTTGTGCAAAGTAAAGCAGTGTGATAAGTGCTTTGCTTAGCTCCATGACACTGGTCAGCTTTGTGCAGCATAAGTTTAAAGAGAAGAGTAGTTTCATCAATATTAAAAATGTCTTTTAACTCATATAAATATGATCCATCTATTTTGGTAGATAAATTCTTAAGCTACTCTTCAACTGACATATGACATGAGATTCCGTGCCGCAGTTTAAATTTATGCAGCCATCCAGTTGAAAAGCAAGCTTCCTTCACATTCAGTCGAAGTGCTATTTCTTTTGACTTCTTGATTAACATAGGGCCAATCATTGGAATATTGGATGCATGGTAATATTTAATGGCCATTCATTGGAATATTTTATGCATGGTACTTGATGGGATCTTTTAGCAGAATTTCTTTGAGCTCAGGAAACTTCACCTTGAGTGCACAGTTTCTTTGAAATGGACTGTACACAAATTTTTGCAATTTCTTCAACTTTTTTCTTATCATAAACAACCATTTTTAGTGTTGTCACAGGAATATCAAGTTTCTTTGTTAACTTGACTTTCATTTTTATTTATTTATTTATTTATTTTTTGTTGTTGTTTAAGATTTGACTTTTATCTTTTAACGGGAGTATCTTGCTTTCATCATGTTTTGTATCAGTTCCACGTAGTTTACTTAATACAGCATCCTGTTCAGAAGGGGAAAAAAAAATAAACACCTCTGTGTTTTCAAGTATCCCCCCAATTCATGATTAGTTTTTCAACTCATGTACGAAAGTGTGAAATCTCATGCCTTTGTTTCCTTTCCTATCCCCATTTCTGAGAAAAGTATTTATAAGATGGGACTGCAAAATGCAGTAGGTCAAACAAAAGTGATGTGTAAAAGAAACATTTAATTATAGAATTGAATCAGGACCAAGATGAAACATATAAACATAAAATATATATAAACGGTGCTCCACTGTATTTATTTGTATTATATAAGTATTGAATGTAAAAGAATTTTTATGGCCATAAAAATATGATTGATGATTTTAAAACTTGAAACATTATCATAAAATACTGAAAACCAGTTACTTTTTATAAGATGCAAGGTTATGTTAATCGAGAATCTCTAATTTTATTTAAGCATCCCAGAGCCATTAGCAGATAGTCATGCTCTTTCACTTGTAGAGAGGGCCTGCCATTTTTCTCAAAGTTTATTATTATATTGTCTCTTTGTTTTTATATTTTAAGTATTACATTGCTGCACAGTAACAAAATCTGAATTGGTTTTTGTACTGTATAAAGTATAATTTTGTAACTGTACATTGGAAACATTTTTATTTCGCATTGAATTAGAACATATGCTTTTATGAGCTTTCGAACTGACTATAAAATTCATGCTGCGTTCTCAAGATTCTTCCCAATAACTCTAAACATTCTCAATTATTCCATATTCAGAGTATTTGGAGAAAATGTTTCAACAATGTTTTCAAGAACTTTGCAAACTTGTCTCTTAGAGACTTTCAAATTGAACTTTAATTCCATTTCCAAATTGTATATTTTGTTATTATACAGGGTGTTGAATGCTATAATTGCTGTATTTTGATAAATCAGATTTACAGTGAAATTAGTTATCCAAGTTTCTATAGATATTCTATGTGTGCCCTTCCAGTGACACAGCAGATATCTGTGTGGTATTCCAGTTCCTATCGTCTGTTAATGATATAAGCACTTTATTTATCTGGTACTTCAGTTGCTGCAAGTCTTGTGGAAATGGAAGCACAAACAGTTTTTTATAAAACTCATCAGGAAAGATCATTACGAGCTAGATCTGGGGATCTCGGTGGCCAACATAGAAATGACATATCATTTGACCCAACACGGCCAGTGCAGGGATGGTGTATGCGATCGTTCAGGTACTGGCTTCTTTTTGGGGGGGGGCAGGGGCCAATGTCGTGGAGCATCAAATGTGTACCGGACAAAGTCTGGAACTGCTTCCTCCAACTGAGGGAACAGCCATTCTGATAGCATATGCACCTATTAAGACACTTTTTCACAAAGAATAAAGCACCAATAATGCAACTTTTGGAACTATAAAACGTTCACATTTGGAGAATCATGCTCATGTTTCATTGCACCATTTGAATTTTTCATGCTCCAAAATTGTAAATTATGGTAATTAACTTTGCCAGAACCTTGAGAAATGCCTTCATCTGCAAGTAATACAAGTCTGTTCATGAAACCATCTATCTCCAGCTTATCTTTTGAATTCTCATAGAAAGTGTTATGAAACGGATTGTCAGAGGTTTTTAAATGCCTGCACTCTGTGAAAGATGTATGGCTGGAATTATAGACGTTTCCATTTGTGGGACTTTGTAAAAACGTTTAACTAATTTTGTAAAAATATTTGGATAATTTTTTTGAACAAAAATATCTGTGAAGGACAATAAGTAGTGTTTTGGCATAATTTTAAACACAGTACACTTTCTCCTGCATGGATGGTGCCATTTTGATTAACAGTGTCTATAGTGACGATTTCGTGACCGGCAGATTTTTTTTTGTTGTTGCCAGATAAAACTTGAGTAAACTTAAATTTGTAAATTGTATATATTTAAGATGAAAAATATGTAAATCAGCTTTATAATTTAATTTATCAATAGCCTCTTAATTTTTCATTTTTAATTTGCATATTTCCTCTTTGTATTCTAAAGATAATTATAACTTTTCAGGACTGCATCATTTCTAGATTAATCTAAGGCACGTGGCTTGCATAATGCTGATGACTTAGCTAATTTAGAAACTGAACTCAAAATCTCGGGAACTGAAACTTTTCTCTTGATAAGCAACCTAAACAAAACCTCTTGGTGAACCTCCATACTGTATAATTGTGCATTTTAGCTTGTACCTCTCTTACTGTAAAGAAACTATTTCGCTGTGCTCTCTTTCTATCGCAGCAGTTTCAAAAATGAAAATGTTTTTGAATAGGCATGATTAAAGCATCAAGTAAATTGTGGCCACAGAAAAATGAAATACAATCTACCTCGACTGCCAAATTTACTAGGGCCCACCAGCGGCCGAGCGGTAAAGTCGCTGAACACTGGTAGTTCGGTCCGAAGTTCGAATCCCTCAAACAGGCTGGCTGCATGGGCGTTTTCGTGGTTTTTCCCATGTGTAACGTGTATACGAGCCAGTTTCCCTTAGAAAGTCCTCCACGAAGGCATCCCTCCCCATAGGCAGATAGCCCTAGTGTGCTTTGCCATAATTAAATACACACATACACACACACATGCCAAGTTTACTAGTCGTTACGGATTCAACATTTTACCATTCTATGCAATCAGAATTCTTCCTCTTCAATATGGATCTACGTTCTGTGCTGTCTATGTGCTGCACAATCAGCATTTCTGTGTTTTTACATCAATACCTCTAAAGTTGTTTTTATTATATATATATATATATTATAATACACAATTGCAGAAAATTATGCATAAAATTTTTATGTTTGCAGAATGATTGCACTTGAAACTCGCAATAAAGAAGATGATACAAAGTGGCTCACCTATTGGGTTACGTTCGCTGCTTTCAGTCTTTTGGAATTTTTTTCTGAAATCATCTTAGACTTTGTCCCTTTCTATTGGCTTGTAAAGGTAAGATGATAAAATATGTTTTATGTCTTCATTCAGTTAGACTGCTTAATAAAATTTTGTTGTAAAGGTAGAAGGGTGGGTACTTACATATTAAGGCAAACAAATTTGTGCGATTTAGCGATTTTGAGGATTAAGAGGTAAAAATTACATATCGGATGCCAGTTAGTAAAATACACCCTCCGCCTCTGGAGAGATATGTGTGAAAGAAATAGCATAAATTCCATAGGTATGTGCGCCTTTTGTCTTGAAAGCATTAATGCTTGTTTTTACAAATAAAATAATAGTGAATAATTGTGTGTTCTTAATCTTCGAAAACATCGTTGTGAGTATAAAGTGTATAAAATGATTATTTTCTGAATAAAGTCTATTTGTTAATACCATTTGAAATTTTACACATATGTGCAGAAGAGTGCATACACAGGTTCCTAGCATCCATTGTGAAAAAATACGATGCCATCTGGATTCAAAGTTTCGTTCTATATGCTTTGAAGTGAGAGATTAAAGTGATTAAAATAAAATCTGGCTCCCTGCTTTAAGATGATATACTGGTCACTGTTTGAGTGGTCTTCTAACTGGGGTGTTAGCGATACAAAGTTAGATGCCAGCTTGTTTGTAGAAGAAACTAAGGCTATGATAGTGAAATAAGTCCTGTTGGACTGTTCAAATATAGCTTGGAAACATGTTAATGATGATAGGGCACTTTAATTTACTGATTATTTGAGCAATCAGAAAGTTTGCATTATATAAACAATTTAAAATGCAGCTAATGCTTAAGCTAATGAAGGAGCATAAAACATATGGGCAGCTAAACAAATTGAAAATAAGTATATCAATACAGAACTATGCACAAAGTTGAATATGGGTAACAGTGTTGAATAATGAGGAAATGTGTTGCTGTACTCCTATTATTAGACACTTACGTAGTGAGTGTGTTTGGGGCAGGCTGCTTATCAATTGACGTGGCTGAGTAGGCACTGGCACAATATGTAATATCTAAGCCAGCTGGTGCTAGTAGCCTACGCCTAATGAGTTTGTAGAAGCTGTCTTTTTAAAGTGATATTTTGAAGTATGTAGGCAGTCAAATATGTAGTAGTCTACTTGTTCCTCCTACCACGTATGCAGAGATGTGTCTCACTGTGTGTTAAGCAGTGTAGATGTGGTGGGAATGGACCATGCCCAGAGAAGTAATGTGTTAGTAAAACAAAGCTGCAGCTTAATTCTTTTGACACTTTTGGGAAGAAAAGGAATGTTCTGCAACTCGTGGCTGTGAGCCATCTCTACTGCAACATTTTGAGCATATGCTCCTGAGTACCAGTTTAATATCTGACGATGGGAGTAGAGTTGAAATCACTTCATCTCCGAGGATGTTTGCTGCTTGCTCCACTAGATCGTCAGACAATTCATTTCTGGTGATACCCTTGTGAGCTGGAAGCCAACAAAAAACAGGAAGGCTGGGAAGAAGGGGTTCATAATATTAAGTGGCAAATGGCATATACCATTGGGCTTCTGTTATGTGTGCTCAATATAAGCAGAAGGCTAGAAGCCAAATTACTAAAAATCTTGGCATTTGACAAATGCTCAATTACATTGCAGCTTGCGGGACAATCAGCTGTACTTGAAAAATGGAATTGTTGACTCCAAGCCTGCGTGTCCGCTTATACTAAATGGTGTTATTCAGCAAATGGCAAAAGCCATTGCCAGTGTCATGTTTCATCTTGGATCCATCCATGTAAATGGCTTCCGCTACCTTGGTGCATGGCGAGTAATCTATACTGACATTTTGCTTCACGTTTTCGTGTGCAGAATAAGAACCGTCCATTTTTCTTACATGGAAAGTACATATATCTGACACCCTAGAGACTACATATTCTTAACTGTGAGGACATTTGCAATGGTAGCCTTTGTTTTAATTACCAAATCTAAAGTCAGTATCCATGTGAGAACTTGAAGCACTGCCATTGATATTGTGCGATATGCCCTGCATATGTAGAGCATACTGTGGACATTGAGCTCTGCATATGTAGAGCACAGTGTGGATACTGTTGGGAATTAAGCTTCTGTCTTATTTGATGTAATAAATTTTTACACCACACTGGAGCTCTGTAAAGCACAATATGCTGCATTACTCTCCAATACCATAAGCAAAGGACTATGATATACTGTAAAACATGCAGTTCTTAATAGGGGAAAAGTTCAAAACTTCAGATATTTATTGACATATATATGAACTGTGTGTTGACAAAGCAGTAAGTGATAGCAAAGTGCAAAAATAGGTGAGATTTTTCAAGTGAAGTCAAGATACTGATGGAAAAGTAACAATCATGAATAACTTCTGTTGTTGCAGACGGCAGAGTTCAACGAGTATTTTAAAAAATTCATTTTAGTTACAATATGTAAATTACAGTTTTTTTTTTTTTTTTTTTTGTTTGTTTGTTTGTTTGTTTGTTTCATTTCTATTGCAATGAAGAGTTCTAAAATTAGTCCTCAAGTAACTTATATTCTGGTTTGAATTCAGAAATATACGAGATACATAAATATGATAAGGCATAATATGCATTAGCTAAAAGATTCTCTGTATTAAATTCATTGAGCATGTAATTTGTTACAATGTTAAATTTCTAAGATAAATATTTCATTATAATGGCATTATTTGTATATTTGATGCATTTCTGCTAATTTTCCTCTTTTTAGTGCCTGTTTCTTATCTGGTGCTTTGCTCCAATTTCTAACAATGGATCGCAGTTCCTGTACCACAAGGTCATTCGGCCTGTATTCTTGAAGAATAGGAAGGCTATTGATGAAACCTTAAACAAAGCTGCCTCTGGTGTTGCTGGTTTAGTTACGGATGGTAAAATTTATTTCTAATTTACTGTTAATCTGCTATGTACACTTTTTTTTAAATTGTCAAGAAAGAAAGCTTTATTGTTTATTTATTGTCAAGAAAGAAGCTATGCATTCTATGTATCTTTAAAATTTTGAGAAGCCTTAAAAAAATTGTTGGTTTTAGATTCTGAGTTGGGATTTTGATACAAAAATATGCTTTTAATTGTTATAGCTGTCATATTTTGTTTCTATAAGAATGTTAGCTTAACCCATGTACTTGTATTTACGTCAAAAATTACACTGCTGATTTCCTAGCTAGCTCATATGGGAGGATGGATTATGTCATGTTATATATTTCATACCTCAATATCCGATTACAGTTTGTTAGCCCCTCAGTCCACAGCTGTCAACATAACAAACGCTTCCATGATATGTGGATCTGATCCATGATATGTGTTCTTACTGTTTTAGTTAAAAGGACACAGTACTTAAAAAAAAAAAAAAAAAAAAAAAAAAAAAAATCCAACTTTTTTCTTTTCCTTATCTTTTAGTTGAAGTCTTTTTAAATAAGTGGAGAAAATTGAATAGTTCAAAAATAATAGTGAATAATAGTCATTAAGGTTTTTTTATATTCAGTAGCGGCTATTTAAAGAGAGTTGTTCTCAACCTGTTTTGAGCCTTGTATCCCTTTCACCATTGCTAGATCATTCCCCTTCTTCTTTACCAAAAGTCAAAAATGCATGTACGTTTATTCAGAATAAGATCATTTTTTAATGTTTTATAAAGTGAATAACAAAAAGTAGAAAATGTTGATAAATACCAATACTTGAATGCAGTTTTTTATTTTCATAAACTAAAACTAAATACTTTTTTGAATTCTAGGTTTTTTAGGAGGGTGTTATACTCATAATTAACTCTTGAATGGTTCATTTATCATTCAGTTTTTTAACACTGCTCATTATTTTGAGCTGTGTAAGGAATATTCCAAACCAACTTCTAGAGTCTTTTGTTCATGTAGGTGTGTATCAATCCTAGCTCAAATTTTATTTTGTGATGCAGTTTTATAAAAATTATTGAAGCAATCTATGCATCTGAGACCTTGTTTGCTGAACAGAAGGTTTTGCATGAATAGGAATATAATCTAATAATGTCTGTAATAATTTTGCTAATGAAAAAAGAAAATTGTAGTGTGTGATACTATTTTAGGGCAAAGTAAGCCCGTTAAACAGAGATGTTTCTTCAGTATAATATTGCACACCTCTTTCATTACTGTTACCAAAACCAAACTCCTTTCCTTAATTTCTTTGAAACAGCATTTTATTTACTAGTGGTAAGTCACTTGTTTAAAATATTTTACCTGTCTCCTGCTAAGCTGTATCTGTCTTGTCTTTGCCTTTTCGTTTAGTTTTCTTTGCCGAAATCTGAAGCGTATGTGCTCTGGCCCATTGGGAGAACAGATCAAGACAATATTGAGATCTCATTTCGAGGTTACTTCTTCCTGCCACAACTAGCATAAAATCGTCCGCATAGGCTATGATTCGAGCGTATTCTACGCTCTCGAACTGATGAAATGCTGAGTTTGCCACTATATTCCACAGTGTTGGTCCAAGGCATGACGCCTGTGGGCACCCTCTAAAGACATTTTTGACATAAAATGCCACTGTCTGATGTTACTTGTACACTTCGATCTTGAAGGTACGAGCGAAGGATGGTAATAATGGCTGTTGGGCAGGCCATATTGTGCAGCAAATTTATTATGTCTAGCCACCAAAGGGAGTCAAAGGCTTCCTTGATGTCAGTGGCTATTGCCAGTGAGTGCAAATTGTTATCCTTGTTCTGTTTGATAGTGGCCATTAAGTCTTTTATGGTATGCTCAGTTGAGTTGCCCATTTGGAATCCATATTGGTTGGGATGCAGGGCGTTGTTCTTTTGCAGGAAGAAGTCCAGTCTGTAAAGAATTACTCTTTCCAATACCTTACCGAGCACTGGCAGTAGACAGACTGGCCTGTAAGATGAAGGTTCTGCCGGAGTTTTGCCTGTTTTTAGGAATAACGCCATTTCTGCCAACTTCATATTTTTAGGTACTGATGTTTCCAGTAACTGATGTTTCCAGCAAGCTTAAATGACCACAAGGAATAGTTTTGGGAATTCCCGGTGTATCTCTCTAATGATGATATCAATTCCATCCGAACCTGGAGCTTTTTTGGGTGCCAGAGTACGTATGATGTTATCCACTTCCATTTGCGTAGGAGGGGGGTTCGTCTCTTCTGGTAACTTGGCGAAATTTCATACTGTAGGTTTTTCTCGCTTCCTCTTGCTCCTCTAAGAAATCCTCTTCATCATCATCAGGGAAAACTGCATTAATGATCTCACTGATTACTTCGATGTTGGATGAGGCAGTGCTATTCGCCATAGACGAGAGGGTATAGGACGAAACACCTTCTTATATGTTATCTTTTGAGTAGGTCCGAAGGCTTTAGTGACATTACTATAGTAAGTTCTCCATGAGATTAACTTGGCATCTTTAATTTTTCTTTTATATAAAGCTCTGGCTTTATTGTATGTTATCATTTTGAGTTGCCATAGGTATGGATCTACCGTGGATTGTGCTTTTCTGCGAAGTGCCCGAACTCTGCTCCTCTCTGTGTTAAGCTCTGGTGACCACCAGGATATGAAGTGCTTTGCCTTTACAGATTTCAAACGATATGCTTTATGGGCGCTTGCACTATTTTTGTAACTAGTAAGTCGTAGAGATTATCTAAGGAGTTTCTGTCCTGGCAGTTGTTGAAATCTTTGATAAATTTCTCTACATACGCTCGAATGTGTTCCCGTAAAACGGTATGTCCTGAAGTGCTGTTTTGAATATTTTCTTTATTATGTAGTCTATAGGAGTATCCAGCTTGTAAGTAATAATTTTGTGATCACTGAGTGACAGCAGGTCATTCACTGTCCAATCTTGTATGTATGGAGTTGTATTGGGAGTTGATATTGTCAAATCTGGCCACCCTCGAGCTCTAGATGTTTCAAAGGTAGGCGGCAATGAAATGCTTACTGTCTAAGAATTCTAGTACCGCAATTCCCCTTCGGTTCTCCGAGTCAGCACCCCATAGTTGACTGGTGGCGTTAAAGTCTCCTGCTATGATACAGTGTGACGCCCCAGTTAGAAGGTTAGAATTAAGTTCTAATAGAGAGGTAATATCTTCGCTCGGGGGTAGATACACAGCAATAATATCAATGCGGCAATTACTAGTGTCTGGAGACTGTATGCTCTGTGATTTTCATTTGGAGAGGGGAGAGAGGGCCACTGTAAGTAATCGCAGCTAGCTGATTCTTTGAGAGAAACGTTCTGCTGTGTGTTGGAACACTGGGAATCGCTCCGTTGTAAACGTAGGGCTCTTGGAAGATTCCGACATTGGCAGCAGTATGTGTCATTACTTGCAGCGTATTTATGGTTGCTGCATAGCACTTCTGCAAGTTACACTGTAAAAATCTAAGACCTGCTATATGTTTATTTAGTGTCATCTTAGGCTTAGTTCTTAGCAGTGGTCTTTCTCAGGCTCTCGAAATGGGCTCCATACACTGGGCAGGAGCTTGAAGTAGCTGGGTGATCTGTGCTGAAAGAGGTCCCCTTTTCAGAATTACTACTGCAGCAATTAGTGCAACTCACTTTTTCCGAGCTACACTCCTGCATCAGGTGGCTGTTACCACACTTCGCTCAAAGTGGAGCATTTGTACAGTTCCTGCTATAGTGATCGAATTCCTGGCAGTTGTAACAGCGTATTATCCTAATGTATGGACGGAGAGGACACTAAAAGATGGCCTAGCTTAACTAGGTGTTCTGCTGACTTAGGGTCTATGTCTATAACCCAGTTTTTCCTTCCGCTTTGCCCAGAACGGCTTTGATAAGCACTGGGATTGAAGTTGGGCAGTTGGTCTACAAGTGCTGCTGTTAGATCTTTTCCTAAATTCTCAGGTACTCCAAAAATAATTACACTTTCCCTTCTTGGCTTGGGTTCCCAAAATTCGAGTGTCTCTAGTAGTGCTGGCCTGTCCTCGATTGCCTGTTTGAGGCGTAGCAGGTGAGCTTTTTCTCGACAGCGGATGAGAAGCTCTCTGGACCTTGTGGGTCAAATCTGCACTAAAGTGATCCCTAGCTGGGAGGGTTTCAAATCTGCCGAAAGTTGAGCTTTAATCCCTTCGGGTGTCCGTGTTGAGGTCTTTGACCTTAATAATAGAACATGCTCTGATAGAACTGGAGAAGATCTTGAAGGTGGTGAAGTTTTCCACTTCTTTCGTGTCACCTCAGTGAAGGGATATTCTTTTGTGGAGTGTTCTTCTGGGGCTGAGTATTCCACTGCTAGATAAGACTCGGAATGTTGAGGATTCTCGTGAGGTGGCTGTAAACTGTGTGCGAGTTGCTGTTGTTGCAGAGCCAAGACTTGTCCCTGTAACTAGTCCTCTGTAATGCGAGGTAAACCTCTTGTTCCGTTAACATTATGCGAACAATGTTCACAAAAGATGTAAATTGCTTTCTTTCAGAAGCATTTAGTCTGCGAGATTCCTTTGCTTGTAAGATAAATAACTGGAGTTGGTTACAGATGTGGTTAATTGCTTCCAACCTGGAGTTAGGTGTCGATGGGCTAGCGGCACTTTTAACAGAAGGGGGAGAATTTTGAATATTATGCTCCGTGCCGGCTGGTGATGGGGGAGTATCCGAAGGCATAGTAAGTAAGAGAACACACTGAAGAAGCTTTCAGAGCATAAAAAACGAATGAGGAGATGAATGATGGATATACATGCGGGGAAAGGCAACGACCATAGTTGATAACACACATTTATTACTAATTACAAATATAGATTACATTAGGATTACAAATTAATGAAAATGGTATACGAGCGATCGAGCGATGTCTGCTCCGCTCGCCAGCTAATCCTCGTCTTTTCTCGAAGGCGGGAAACACGTGCTGACGCAATGCATATGTCACACAGTAGGGGATTAGGGAATATCATGACATAACATTTCCC